TAGTTTTTAAAAAAGAATGACAAAATCACTAGTAACAAGCCAAATACTGAATACAACTTAAAATTTCTTTCGAGTTTATTTTTTTCCATTAGGATACATCCCACTAGGGACAATCAGTCAGGTTGCTGTATTTTAAATCACTTGAAATCATTTACCTTTGTGTGGCTAAGTGACTATTTTTAGCACTCTGAAAATAATTCTTCTTGCTTACATTGTTCTATTTTCAAATAACCACAAAGATTTTTCTGAGCATTATTATAGTAACATTCCTAGCGTGTAAAGATGGAAAAAATAACGTAGCACCCTTTGTGTTTATAATTTTTAAAATGCACTGAAGTGGAATGGCTGATCAGGTTCCACACTGGAGATGAGGAGTTGATAAGAAGGCAAGACTCCCACCCTTGGACTCACTTCAGTGTTCAGGTCAGCCTCACAGCAATAATTACCGCACACCAAGTGGCCACAGCTGTGGGAGAATATCAATGCACTAGAAGTGAGTTTTCTAAACTCTCTGATGCACCAAACAATGGGCGATCATTTTCCTCTGAACTCCCTTCTAAATAGTCAGTTAACATTCTTGTCTTCCACCAACCCACAGAGTAAATTTACCTCTTTGCTCAAACTCTGTTTATAGCCTAACGAGTGGTTAATAGTACCTTTATTTTATGACAGCATTTTGTCATCAGATTTCATTATTTTGCCTTTAAAATGTATCTGCTTTGTTCCCTTTGGGGGTCATAAACAAGATGTACTATCCTTCCAGTTAAAGGGTGAGCACGCCACCCAACAGCGGTGACTTTGCATCTGGGTCCTTTAAGAGATGGCAACTGGAATTCATTGTTTTGTATGAGAATAGCCAGAATGCCATTATGTAGATTTAACACTAAAATGTTTCCTCAGGTGACCAACAAACAATAAGGCATTTGGGTGTTAAATACTAGAAATGACATGTATACGCATACATGAGAGGGGACCCCCCCCAAAATAGGAATCATCTTTTGGAGGGCAGGCCCCTTCTAGTACAGGCTTCCCCCACTAGATAGGTGTTCTAGGAACCCACTGGCATCAGTGTACTAGCTAGCGTTGTTGTGAGAGACTATGGTTGGCTTCAGTTAATTTTTTCTGGAGGTTCTTTCAATGTGTTTGCTCATTTCATGATAGGTGATTTATGAGTGCACCTGTATACACCGTGTTGAGTGTTCAGCAGGTTTTGACCCAAAATGCCATGACCCCCATGTCCTGCTTTCCCTATTCACCTGATCTCATTCCAAGCGACTTTTCTTCCCAGATGAAAGAAGCCCTCAAAGGGAAATGTTTTGATGATGTGTAAGAGGTGAAACAAAAATGGCAGAAGCACTAAAAAGCATCATAAACGATGAGTTTAAAAACTGCTTTTGAAGCCGGGCTCGGAGGCTCAGCCTGTAATCCTGTGCCTCGGGAGAGAAACGTTTTTTGATGTGTAAGAGGTGAAACAAAAAATGACTAAAAGGCATCAAAATTGATGAGTTCAAAACTGTTTTGAGCAATGGAAAAGGCATCTCAGTTAGGTGTATTGCATCAGAGTACTTTGAAGGTGACTGACGTGTAAGAAGAATACATGACTTTTAAAAATAAATTGGTTTTCGGGTCCTCCCCTCGTGTGTGTGTGTGTGTGGTGTGTGTGTGTTTATAAAAGTTCCGTGCTCGGGCACTGCTGTGTCCAACCTGATTTTTGCATCCAAGTTTCCCTCTCCATCTTTCAGCAATAAAACTCATTCAGGGGCCCTGGCAGATAGGCTCCAGGCTTGAGTAGTCACTCTGCATTTTAGTATCATCGCTCACTAAGTTGGTTAATGTGCTTTGGACCTAAAGGAAGCCAAGTCATCTGGAGTGCTCTGGACCCTCTCTGAGCTGAAATTGAGTGACCAAAGTTCTCGAAACTCAGGGACCGAGAATCTTAGCACTACTCTCCCATGCTGGTTGTTTGGTGCAAGACACTCTTAGCCTATGCCCACCCACCAAGAACACACGACTGCCTCGTAAGGCGCCTACAGGGACGTTGCAAAAAAGTGTCCATGGTACTCCCAGGGGACATACATGGACATTCATGGAGAAATACTTATCTTCCTCACTGTACATAAAGATAAAGTCTGTTCTCTGGGTTTATGCTAATTTTGTATTTGCAACCCACACTTCCTTTTTTTCTCCTCTTTTTGATTCATGATCTATTTGAAGGTTCTGTTCAAAAATCTATTCCTGACACTCCACTTCTGAATGCTGCTGCCAGCTTAGATTCGCCTCTCTTCCCTTCCCTTACTTTACAATTAGGCAATTTAGATGTGGAGGGATCTATGTCACCCTACAGAGGTGGTCTTTGCCTCCTGCTGTGTCCCTTGCCACACCCAACTATATTGTGCTTTGATGGGCGTTGCTTTCATGTGCACATGCGGCCTCTTTGGAGGCCTTGCAGTGGGTTTCCATTTTGTTTGTCCTTTCGTGTTTTCCGTGGATTGAACATGGCACTGATGGGTCTGTTTAATGATCTCAACCTTTCCCAATAGAAAACCACATTTATGATAACCTGTAACCCTCGCTTCAATCAGCAAGGCCAGTAGATATGCACGTCAGGTGTAATGACAGTGAGTTTATTGAGATCCGACGCGTGACAGAGGCTTCCTCATGAGCTCTTGTATTTGCTAAGGCCACATTAGTTACTCCTCAGCGTGACTCTTACTTTTCATTTCTATACTAATTTAAGACACTGGGAAGCAAAGACCACATTGCCTCAGTCCCTTGCAGAATTTTATTTTTGATGAGTGACTTTGTGTAGTGCTTTTTAAAAAATTAGCCGAGAGGGCGAGATACTGGTTAAAGACATTGTCCACCATCATCGATGCAAGCATAGATAAATATGATAAATTTTGTATTCCAAGAAGTGTTTTGTCCCTGTAAACAACTTTGCATGCCTTCTTTTATCACAGATTTTAAAGTATTAGATAAATATACAAAATATAGGCAAGTATATTATTTTCTGTTTCATATGAAAGAAACCTTTATTTCAGACTCACTACCAAATACTGCTTCCTTTAAAGAACGGTGAAGATTTTTATTTTAAATATCTTAATGTGTTTTAATCCGTAGGTGTTTCAAATACTTTTGGAAATCACCACTGCATAAATACTGATTGAATTTACATTGGGGGACATTAGGTCCAAAGGAGTCATAGAGAGATCATGAAATAAATATCACTCTAGCTTCCTATTCACTTCTTTCTTGATTTGGGTAGTAGATCGTACTGAGCGAAAGAACAGCTCTCTCTCTCTCTTCATTTTTTCTTTTTGGTAGGTCTTCAGTCCTACATTTTCTCCCTGTTTCTTCATAACAGTACCTAATGCTGTTGTTTCAATTTCTCTTTATAATAACGAGATAGAATAAGTAATTTTTTGTTTGGTCCCAAACTTCCAAATTGTCCAAAATGTAATTCATGGAAGTCATTCTTGACTCCAGGTCATCGACAAATGCCTTCAATAATTAAATCATAGTGGATTTTAATATTTTGCCTTTGTGTGTAGACTCTTTTTCACTTTAAATAATCTCCACATTCCTATTTTTAGGGTAAGTGCAGTATTTGATGTGCTGCATTTTCTGCCTTGGCTGTAGAGAATAGAACATCCAGTGCACATGCCACCCTAATGTGAGCAGCCCTTACAGTGCCAAGCTTTGTCTTTTTTGTGCTCAGATCTATTCCTCACCCTGCCCCTGAAAACTACATTTTTGCAGACTCCTGTGCCAACTGATTTCTAATTAGATTCAGAAAAAGAGAAATCCTGGCAGAAGCTAGGAGGATGGGAGGAGGAGAAATGCCAGGGTATTTCTCCCTTTCTCTCCTGACTCTCACCTCCTTTGGTGGCTTCTCCGGGCATGGCCTGCATGCCCTCTGTTCCCCCAGATCCCTACCTGGTTCTAGCTTCTTCCTGGGCCACTTCAGCCCTTTCTCCCCTGACCCTCATCTGCTTTGGTGGCTTCTCCAGGTGTGATCTCTATCTCCTCTGGGCCCCCAGATCCCTCCATGGTCCTAGCTTTTTTCTGGGTCACCTCGGAAATCCACCTCCCTCAGAAGGCCCTGAACTTGGATGCCAGGTACACCTTTCATATTAGTTTCTCAGGGATGTTCTAACAAGGAACCTCAAACTCAGTGGCTTAAAAAAATAGATACATACTGTGTCACAGTTCTGGAGGGTACAAGTTCAAAATCATGGTGTCAGCAGTACCATGCTCCCTCTGAGACTCTGGGTAGACTTCTTCCTCACCCTTTCCTAACTTCTGGTGGAAACTACAATCCTTGGTGCAACCTGGTTTCTAGCTACATTATTCCAATCTCTGTCCCTGTCATCATAGGGCCATCTTCCCCCGTCATCTGTCTCTGTATCTCTTCTCTTTTTATAAGGACTTGAGTTATATTGGATTAGGGGCCATATAACCCTATTTTAACCTAACTAATTATATTTGCGATGACCTAATTTCAACATATCTTTTTTTGTGGGGGATATAATTCAACCCACACCACCCCATTGTGATGGTAGCCTACTGTTAGGCTAACCTCTGTGTTCTTTCACTGCCCTCTGTTGGTCATTTCAGCTCTCCTGGCATCTTCCTAACTAGTTCCCCGAATTAAATTCCTTCCATGGAACTCTTTGGGCGGGGCTTTATTTTTCTGACTAGACCCTGCTGGGTACACTGATAGAGGAGAGGCACCTCCTTATTTGTTTTTCATATTCCTGTTCTTGCCTTGTGAGGCTTGGTTTAAAGCACAACGGAAGATAGTGTCTAACCCTCCCCACTAGCTGAAGAATTAGAGCAGGTGGCTCCCCCAAACTGAGCAGCCAAAGGACATGCCCTCACTTCAGAAAAATCCTTGAACATACTGAGATACACGGTGAGGAAATATTCATGAATAAGCTTTAAAAAATATTGCTCTTCCAGTCCCAGGTGCTGCAGGAGCTGTGGGTTACCGTGCAGACATGGCCAAGCCCAAGAAACATACCACACACAGCCAGTCCCAAAAATGGCACAGACATGGCATCCAGAAATCCCGATCACAAAGATACGAGTCTCTTAAGGGGGTGGATCCCAAGTTCCTGAGAAACATGCACTTTGCCGAGAAGCACAACAAGAAGGGCCCGAAGAAGATGCAAGCCAACCACGCCAAGGCCATGAGCACACATGCTGAGGCTGTCAAGGCCCTCGTAAAGCCCAAGGAGGTTAAGCCCAAGATCCCAAAGGGCCCTAGCCGCAAGCTGACTCGACTTGCATACATGGCCCACTCCAAGCTTGGGAAGCGTATTCGTGCCCGTATTGCCAAAGGCCAAGGATCAAACTGAGGCCCTGGCCGCAGCTTCACCTGCAACTCCAGCTTCAGTTCCAGCTCCTGCTCTGGCTCCCAAAGGCGCCCAGACTTCCACAAAAGCTCCAGAGTCGAGGCCCCTGTCTGCCAATGTGAGGACAGAAGATTTGATTTGATTCCCAGGTTGGCTGGTGTCCTCCTGTGCTATTTGTACAAATAAACCTGAGGCAGGATTTGTTAAAAATAAAAAATAAAATAGGTAAGACATCAGCTCCAGAACACAAGAGTGTGTAACAGATGCCAATTGTTTGGCCTCATCCGTCTGAGAATTATAACCAGCCAAAAGAGCAACTTGGAATATTGCTAATTTCGTTGGTCTCCATGACATCTCCTGCATACCATTGTTTCTCAAGGAATTGCTGTTATTTTCATTTGGTGAAAACCTGTCTTTCCTCACAGTGAAAGTTCATGCCTGTGAAAGATGGAGCCACAGAAGTAGAAATCGCCTATGCTGCCACAGGACAGCTGTGGCCTAGGAACACTGAAATTATCTTGTCTTTCTGTTCATTTGCTGTAGGCATGGGAGAGATGCCCTCTCTCTACGTCTACTGGGTTGACTTGGCTCCCTGAAGACCTCGACTAGGTGCCATCTGTGGAGGCATTTTGTTTATTTTGTGCTATAGAATGAATCTCGGGGTGCGTGGAACGTGACATGAAAGTGATTGACCAATAGGATATAAAATCTTCCAAAAATAATGAAGGCAGAAACTTTCTCTTTCTCAGGCTGGCCCGCTATGATACCAAAGTCAGAGCACAGAAAAAAGGGTTCCAGTTTTCTAATCACTGACATCCAAAGATAGGGCCAAATGTATAATCAGATTCATTCATTCATTAAGTTGATCAACTGCTCATTCATTCATTTATACATGCAGCAATAGTTACTCAGTGTCTGTTTTATGACAGGCCTGATTCTAGATAATGGGACTACAAGGTTTGACAATTAAGTTCACAAACTCATCCTAGAAAAAGTGCTCCATACCTCATTACTGAATATCACTATAGTTACTTTCTAGGTACTCCCCTTGGGAAGCTATACACCGACGCCACCACCTAGTCCACCTGTCAAAGCAATTTTAGAACTTTTTTCTGGAATGGCCATCAGAGCTGTTGTTGTAAGAATGTCAGCGTTTGAACTAGCGCGATGAACAAACATTAAATTTCGTGTTAAACTTGGTAAGAGTGGAAGTGAAATCAGGGACATGTTCGTCCAAGTTTATGGGGATAACGCCATCAAGAAAACAGCATCATATAAATGTATTAAGCATTTTTCTGAGTATCACTGATGAGGAGAGGTCAGGGTGGCTAGTAACAGAACAGAGCTGATGAAAACATTGCAAAAATCCATCAAGTTCTGTGTCAAAACCGTCGGCTGACTGTGAGAAACACAGCAGACCAAATACACATCAATAGAGAAATAGGAAAATCTTAACTGAAAATATTGGCATGAGAAAGGTGTATATAAAAATGGTCCCGAAGGAACTCTTGCATCACAACAATGCACCAGCTCACACAGGACTGTCTGTGAGGGAGTTTTAGCCAGTAAACAAAGAACTGTAATTGGAACACTCTCCCTACTTGCCTGATCTGGCCCCCTATGACTTTTCTTTACTGGAAGATAAAGGAAATATTGAAAGGAAGACATTGTTGCCAGGCACAGTGGCTCAAGCCTGTAATCCCAGCATTTTAGGAGGCCAAAGTGAGAGGATTGCTTGAGCTCACAGGTTCGAGATCAGCCTGGGCAACTTACTGAAACCTCATCTCTACAATAAATTAAAAAATAAGCTGGGAGTGGTAGTGCATATCTGTAATTTCAGCTACTTGGAAGACTGAGGTGGAAAGATTGCCTGAGCCCAGCAGGTCAAGGCTGTGGTGACCGTGAGCATGCCATTGCACGCCAGCCAGGGCAAAAAAAGAAAAAGGAAAGAAGACATTTTGATGACATCAAGGGTAATGCAACAGTGACTGACGGCCATTCCAGAAAGAGTTCCGAAATTGCTTTGACGGGCGGACGAGGTGCTGGCTTCAGTGCGTAGCTTCCCAAGGGGAGTACTTGGAAGGTGACCATAGTGAGACTCAACAGTGTGGCACTTTTTCTAGAACGAGTTCATGAACTTAATTGTCAGGGCTTGTATATAGTAGAAAATAAGAAAGTCAGGTTTTTTGGATCTCAAAAAGCTTAAACTCTAGTTAAAGAAAGACTTTCTTTTGAAAGACAGTGAGCAATTGAGCAAGAAAATAACAGTGAGCGACAGGGCTTTAATAAAATTAAAACAGGTAATGTGATAAAGGGAGCTTGAGTGGTTGAGTGGTCGATTGGGTTGATTGCCTCCTTGCTTTCTATTTGAACGGGGGCAAGCTTCTTAAGATGGGATTGAATGATAAAGGAGAGCCAGCCTTGCAAAAACCCGAGGAAAGGACATGTCAGGCAGAGAAAACATGAAGTGTAAATTCTAGAAAGGAAGGCGATGGAAGAACACAAGAGGCCTGGGCATCAGAGTCTATTGAACAGAGGTACATGAAAGGAAATGCAGTCAGAGGTAAGCAGGTCAGGCATATAGGGTCTTGTTGGAGTTTTTGTTTGGTCATCAATGGGAAATTTTTGGAGGGTTTTTAATGCATGGAAGATAAATTATTTCATCTTCTATGTGAGTAGAATAGACTTCAGGGAGGAAAGAGGGAAACCAAAGAGACCGGAGAATAGTCCGGTGAGAGATGGTCCCTGGATCTGGGGTGGGAGCCATGGCAATGGAGAGGTGTGGACAAATGCAGGAGACATTTTGGAAGTAGGATTCACAAGACGTAGCAATAACCTGGGTGATGGGGTGTGGGAGAAAGACTTTAGAATGACCCCGTTTATTTTCATCTCCTAATATGTATACTCTTGTGAAACACCTGCTCTGAATATGGGTGAGGCCTGTGACTTGTGTCTCACCAACAGAGCATGGAAACGATGAGATGGCACTTCTGTGGCTGCAACCCATAAGATCGCAAATTCGGTCTTTCTAGCAGACTCTTTACTACCTCTCACCTTTGATGGCTTTGATGGTGTAAGCAGCCATGTGGAGAGGCCCTTGTGGCAAGTAACAGCATCTGGCCAAAGCCAGCAAGGAGCAGAGGCCCTCAGTCCAAAAAGCCACAGGGAGCTGAATCTTGCCAATAACCCCCAGTCGAGCCTCAGATGAGACCCCAGCCTGGACAACAGCATGACTGCAGCCTGTGAGAGATGGTGAGGGCAGGGGAAACGGTGCTTGCATTTCTGACCCACAGAAACTCTGAGATCAGAGGTGTGTTTCATTAATCATCAGAGAAATACAAATCAAAACCACAAGGAGGTACCATCTCACACCGCTTAGGATGGCTATCATTAAAAAGAAAAAAAAAAAACAGATGTTTGTGAGTATGTGAATAAAAGGTAACATTTCTGTACTGTTAGTGGCAATGCAAACTAGCTCAACCTTTATGGAAAGCAGTGTGGCATTTGCTCAAAGAACTAAACACTGAGCTACCATATTCCCCAGTAATCCCACTTCTGGGAATATACCCCGAGGAACATAAGTCACTCTACCAAAAAGACATCTGCACAGTATGTTTATTGCAGCACTCTTCACAATAGCAAAAACCATGGAACCAACCCTGATGCCCATGGACAAGTGGACTAGGAAAATAAAATGTGGTATAAAGAACAAAATCATGTCCTTTGCAGAAACATGGGTGCAGCTGGAGATCCTCATTCTAACAGAACTACCATCGAAACAAAAGCCTGTATACCGCATGTTCTCACTCATAAGTGGGCCCTAAACGTTGGACACGTGAGCACAAAGGTGGGAAAACAAATACGAGGAGGAAAGGAGGAAGAGAGGGAAGGGGTTATGATACGGGGTACGCAACTACTGATTTGGTACCACATCCACTACCAGGAAGCAGGAAGGCTCGCTAAAAGCCCAAACTTCACCTTCATCCAATTTACTTACGTAGCAAATCTTCACATGCATATGGCATAGTACAAAAAAAAAAAAAAGAAGAGTGTTTCAGGCCGCTAAGCTTCCAGTAATGTTGTTTTGCAGCGACAGGTGACTATGACATGGAACAGTTAGAAATAAGGAGTCAATAGCGATTTCTAGGCTTGAACAATTGGGTAGAAGGTGGAATTATTTACTGAAACGGAGAGGCTTTTGGGAAGAACAGGCCCAAGGAGAAATCAAGAGTGGAGATTTCACGTAAGTGGTTGGATAACATGCACATGGAACCTAGTGGGGAAAGGTGATAGTCATCAGACATTCAATCTATCCAGATGTGTAAAATCCATAGGGGAATGACCAGCTCTCCCCCTTTCAACAGTGTTGTGTGAGCCAGCCTGGGGCTTGGGCTCTCATTCTCTGCTCCTCCCCACTTTGCTGGACTCTGTTCCCTTGTACGATGGCTTGGGTCCTCTGCTACGGTCATGGTCATCTCGCTCTACCGATCTTCCTTTGCCCTACATATCCTCTCGTGTGGTTGTGCTGGGACCTTGCTCAGAGTTTGTTTTTTTTTCATCGGTATTGACCCCCCGATCCGGCTTGTTTGGATCTTTGCATCCTTTCTTCATTGTCTATGCCCATCCATCTAGGGCTCCCCCAACCCCACCGCCTGATCGCAAATACAGTCTGAGAAGTGGTGCTGTGGAAGGAATACGGAAGTGGAGGTAGATTGAAATTGGAACCGAAAATCGACTTATCATCGGTGTAAGACAAAGTGTGACACTTTCATTCTCTCATCTGTGAAAAGAGGATAACAATGCTCACCTCCTAGTGCTGTTAAAAGGATTAAAAGCACTAGCGATATAAAGTGTCCAGTTCAGTGCTCGACACATAGTAGGTACAGTAAAGGGTACTTATTATTATAATCAAACTGACTTTTGCTAAAGCAAAAAAAAAAATTCTACCTGGCTAACACGTTACCTTGTATAGCTCTTGTATACCCAAATTTAAATAACCATATTCAATTTCTCTCAATGCTCTGGTCTATTTTTATCAGATTTAAATGTGTTCCAGACACATCTGTCTTGAAAAAGATTTCTTTTTCAATCACTTCACTTTCCTCACCAGACAGCCTCCTCATCTCTCCCCTTTCCATCACA